TTTTTAACTTTTTAATAGCGATATAATTGTTTCCGCGTTAATAAAGAAGTTTTCAATATAAATTTTTTTCGAAAATTTTGCAATTATCGATTATTTATTAAATTTTTCATATACATTTTACATAAATAATAATAGTTATTTCAATATAAAATTTTAGACGTGAAAGTATTATAAATTCATATTACAATCCATAGTTACACGCGCCTGCAATTGATTATCAATTACTACCATACATATTACTTACCTTTTCATTTAGCAATCATGTATGTAATTGGACACGTGCATCGTATTTTCTTTTATGCTGTAATCATTACTAAGCTTTTAATTAAATGTTAGGCAATACAATAAAGGTAAATGCGGAGCGGCAGATAAACTGTAGCACCACAATGACAAATAGATGACAATGATCCGCAGCAATTGCGAGTAGAATATCATTCATACAGCCAGGCAAACGGGTCGTAGTTGGCGCATCACTCCACCTTTGTCCGGAATGTTCAGCTATTGTGAAATTATGTAGGTGATTACATATTTTCCACCTACTTTTCGTTTTTTGCTGATAATTTTCAATCCATGCGTCTGGAGCGTGGTCTGTCACAAAGACAATACCTGAATCTGACATACTTACATACATATGTACTTACTTAACTATATACTTTTACCTATATTATTCATGCATTTCAAGCGAGTAAATATTGTATATATGTATGTATTTATACTATATGAAGCTAAATATTTTCCAAATATTTTAAATCTACATGAATGTATCAATAAGGACGTGTATTTTCGTATAAATAATTTTTGGTTTGTACAAAGCATCTCATCAGAAATAATCCGTTTCTTACTCTCAAACCCCCTCCCAAAGACGTCGGCAAACCTCTGTGACCTTGAACTGAACTTGAGTGTCAATGCACTTTCTGCATATTCACATACGTATCTACATACATACAAATTACATTTATGTGTTCTAATATGTAGTTATATATTTTTGTTTGTCCCCGCCTATATGTGTATGTATTAAAAAATTGTGTACCGTTAATTTGCTGACTGCCCATAGCCGATGTTTGGCAAAACATCCCAGTACCGGTGACCATTCGGCTACTAGCGGCTACAAAATTGTGTTTTTTCGTTATTTGCTTTACATATGTATGTATAAACGTGTTTGGCATACATATTTATGAATTTGTGTGGGCGTGCGGAATATGTATAGACTTTGAATGCTACAAATGTTTCAATAAGCTTTTTTATACTCAGGCAGCGACTGGTCGTCTATGTGTGCGTGGAAACTTTGAATGAAATATGCATATATGCGCGAAAATATCTTGAAATCACCACAATAAAGTACTTTTTTAAAATTTTCCTACAGATAATTATAATTCAGTACAACAGCTAACCTGGGGGGTGAGAAATTCCAAGTCAGGGTGATGGTACTAGGTCAGTATAGTAAAACCCTCAAAGGGTTTGGCGTTCGTATGTGTCAGTTTTTTTTATGACCTTTTAAACTTTTTCCTTATTTCCCATGGTTTTCCATCTTAACAAATTAATTTTTTCCAATCAGGCGTACTAAATGGTCCAGATATACGAAAGCTGATTAAAAGTGACGCATTCAACAATATTTTTTTTTTTGGTTTTTGCCAAAATGTTACAACTAAGCGAAAAAACGCCAAATCCTTTAAGGGTTTTACTATACTGACCTAGTACCATCACCCTGACTTGGAATTTCTCACCCCCCAGACAATAATAACAAAAATGTTCGACAGTGTAATTAGCAATGCGAAGTTCTATAAACTTTAGTATACAGATAAATATTTGTATATTAATTTAAATAATCTAATAATAGTAAATTCTATAATAAAATTGAAATTATAGTTAGCATGGCTCTTAAGTTATTGTTTTTAAATTAACTTTATATTAAAACTTTTCAGTTTATTTGTTTTATTTTTTTGCATATTATTAATTTTTTTAAATATTTTTTTATATTTATTTGTATAACTGCTTCAACAATATAATCTGAAATTTAAAAGTTACTGAATTTTGTATTAGTTATTTGTATTTATGTTTATATTTTGTTTTAATGTTGTTGTTGTTGTTGTTGTTGTTGTAACGGCAGAATTCTGCCGAGTTGACAGTCCTTGGCCGGATGAAAATCTGGGTTCGTTCCGGTTTTCGTAGACCCGACTGTCGTGGGAACGGTTTCGTTTTGTTTTAATATATTTTTTTTATTTACTTAATTTATAATTGAAGGATACAAAATTGGCGTAGACTAATAATTTACGTAACTTTTACTACTTACTTACCTCTTAATTAATTATCCAATAAGTTTTAATACTAAAAGGGTTAAAATCAATTTATAATTTTAAAAATATTTCTTTATTAAATTTTTTTACATTTTTCTTTTTTTTAATTTTTTAATATGTTTTTTTACTATTTCTTACTCCAAATGATATTTTCCAAAAAACAACAAAATAACAAAATTAGCACAAAGGAGTATGTATGCGTATATACTCATCTGATTTTTTTTCAATTTTGAAGTTATTTATAGCATATATTACCATTTATTTTGCTTTTTAAATTTTATAACTTTTTATATTGTTTTATATTTAACGTTTTTTAAATAACATTTACAATTTTGTTCAATTCCGCCCAAGCAAAAAAAAAAATTGAATAATAGAAATATCAAACTAAGTGCATTTGTTTTTATACATATGTATATACATATACAAAAATATATATTTTCCTTATCAGTAAAACTGTCTGGATTTATTTCATTAAAATAATTTCTAATGCAATGCAATAAATATACATTGCTAAGTACAATTGGGTATAAATAGATATACTGTAGAGATGCATATGTATAGGTCAGCCAGCTGTTTGAGTTGCCTTTGATGCAACGGCTATTGCCGTTAATTTTACAAAAAAAAATAATAGTAATATAAATAAATGATGCGCAATAATTATACAATGTTAAAAGTAATATAAAACGAATTAATGAAATTAAAAAAAAATATTTAAAAAATTAGTCATCGATCAGAGCAGTATGTAGGACTGCCTCAATGTGCCTGCAAATAATTTTAATTTAGCAAAGAATATATTAAGCAAGCTTATTAAGTAATTTATGCAGCAATTACAAAGTGAATGGGGCACTTAGGTGTATGAAAGCGTTTGTATGTTTGTGTATATATGTCTGCTGTTTTGTGTTTTTTACCATTTAATGTCAATTCTAATTTTTAATTGCGCTTTTATTACGTTTGCATTCTTCGCAGACTTGCATTAGACTGCACTTTAGTACACAAATCACAAAATTTGTTCAATTCATCAGTAACGACAGCGGCCATCAAAGTGTAAAGGGATCTTTGCTATTAAAATATCACATTTCTGCAAAATGAATTTCTTTTTAAAGGTTATAACGCGGAACTTAAATACTAAAATCCATCTTAAAAAGTTTCTTGACCTAATACTGAATGTATATCGCGGTTCAATTCAACAAATGTTGGTGTGGAAAACCGCCGAAAAAACAGCCCTTGGCGGATAAAATCCGGGTCAATTCCGATGTGTAGAACTCACTGTCGTGGGAATTGTTTTATTTCGATTGGTTAGTTTGTATGGCAGCTATATACTATAGATTTGAACAAATTTCTTGAAGACATCTTGATAAATAAAAAATTTTCCAACAACTATTTGATTTAGTGGACCAATCTCGGCGATTCTGGCAAATCAGCAGCTTGGTGGGAGGATTTTTACTTCACTTAATTATATGCAAAGTCTAAATTTGCTAAATAGTGCTTTTAAAATCAAGCAGGAAATTGTGTCGAATCTGTGTTTATTACTTCTTTCTGAGAAATTATAATGGAAAAAATAATAATTTTATATATTTCCACATACACGCATATAGACACAAACAGAAGTCATATGCAACCACATTTATTACTCTTTAAAGTCCAAATGTTGCGTTATCATTCCGATTTCCAATCTATTTGTAATTACCATCCCATTATACATATGTATGCAAATGTGTGTTTGTATGAATGTGTGTGTCTGTGTCATTGCCGCCTACATATGTGTATAAGTATTACATACTTATCTTATATTTAATAAATATGCGCGCATATAATTAATTATTTGAACTGTGTGGACTTTCTACGTTCCGGCTATTTGCCAATTTGACTGTGTGACTCTGTAAGGTTGGTTGACTGATCAATTGTTTGTTTGTGCCCGCTTTAGATTTGCCGTTTTATAAAATATATTAAATAAAAGTGTGCTCATTTTGTGTAAATTGTACAAATCTACCAGCGTATATAGATTCATATGTGTGTGTGCGTATTACAATGCACTTCTTTTTTACTCACACATGCGTTACTTACATATGTGTGTATTTATTTATTTCTAATCATGTGAAATGCAAATATTTATTACTTTTAGTAAGACGCGTGTGGAAAATATGCTAAGATTAATAGATTGTAMAAAAAAAAAAAAAACAACTCGAAATGAAATTCCAATAACAGTTTTATTATTGATTGAAATGAGAAAAAAATGTATGGCAAACTTGTTTTTAATTTGGCCAATATCTTAAATGTTAACCAAAAGAATACAGCACAAAGAAAATTATGCGAAAAATGTATGGGCAAAATATTAAAAAAATACAGTGTCTTATAATATCAATTTTAGATTTCTATTTCCCCCCAAACATATGTATACATTTACTTTGTATCCAATTGCGAAACAAAAACATTTTATTTTTATTTTATTAAAACTTCTTCTGTAGGCAAGCACATTTTAATAATTTTTTCAATTTCTTCTTAAATTTTTTAGAGGCATCAGTTCCACAGTACGACGCTGCATTGAAAAAGAGACCGGCATCGAGTTTGCCGCCAAAATCATCGACCTTGGCGCCGCCACAGAAGCTGGCGATACCAATCCATATCATATGCTCGAAGCCACAAGACAGGAAATTTCAATACTCAGACAAGTTATGGGTCATCCTTATATAAGTGAGTAGTCTCAAACGGAAAACTCATTCCAATTTTAACACAACTAATTTTATGTACTTGCCGCTATTTCAGTTGATCTACAAGATGTCTTCGAATCGGACGCTTTCGTCTTTTTAGTATTTGAATTGTGTCCGAAAGGTGAACTCTTCGATTACCTCACCTCGGTTGTAACGTTGTCGGAGAAGAAGACACGCACCATAATGCGACAAATATTTGAGGGTGTCGAATATATACATGCAAAGAATATTGTACATCGAGATTTGAAACCCGAAAATATTCTACTTGATGAGAATCATAATGTTAAAATTACAGATTTCGGTTTTGCGCGACAACTGAAGGGGGACGAGAAGTTAACAGGTGCATAATGCCCGCATATTTTGGATATTGTGATATTATTTTATACATTTAATTTATGTTTTAGACCTCTGTGGCACGCCTGGCTATTTGGCGCCGGAAACATTGAAATGTAATATGTTCGAAGGCTCGCCTGGATATTCCAAAGAAGTTGATATGTGAGTATCAAAATAATAATATAAAAGGGTTTTAACAGAAACATGCTCAAATCCCACTTACATATAAGTTTAAGAACTTTAAAAACTTATTTTTCGAACATACTTTTATTTGGCAATCTTTAAATCCAACTATAGACTTATTTTGTTTTGAAAATTACATACTGATTTTTTATTTAATATTATAATTATATTCTGAACAGGGTTTAATAAGAAGGAAACATCGGATACCTTATAAAGTATATTACATATATACATGATCAGTCGATTTGCCATGCCCGTCTGACTAATCATCCTTGTATACGCGAACTAGTCCATCAGTTTTTAAAATATCGATCTGAAATTTCGTACACATGCTTTTCTCCCTAAGAAGTTGCTCATGTGTCGGGACCGCCGATATCGGACCTTTGTCGCTTATAGCTGTCAGAAGAATTGATCGTTAAAAACATACCCTTTTTTTAATTTGTTAAGATTTCTTTACGAAAGATGACATGAATTATTATATCCAAGTCAAAGGTACAATCTCCGAATTTTCAGATCTATGGTTGTCTCATAGTATATAGCTGCATTTGGTCAATTAAAATCATGTCTTTGTTTGGAAAACTGTTTTATTCGACAAAATAAAGTCACGAATTATTGTTCAAGACAAATATTGGCAACACTGCAATCTCCGAACAAGCTGTTCAGATCGGAACGCTATTAAATATATGTAACTGTCATACGAATTAACCGATTAAAATCAATATAAAGCTTAACATTTTTTCTTGTTTTACTCTTAGTATCCTTGACTTAATTGAATGTTTACTTTCCTTCGCTTACAGTAATCAAAACACGCAGAAAATGCATGATTATATACATTATATGTATTTTTAAAATGTTTAATAAATAAATTTTTCAATTTGCTTATCACTCAGTTGGGCATGCGGCGTCATTATGTTCACATTACTTGTTGGCTGTCCACCGTTTTGGCATCGCAAACAAATGGTCATGTTGCGCAACATAATGGAGGGCAAATACAGCTTCACCTCACCCGAATGGGCTGATATATCAGGTAATTCAACAAAATAATGCAAACTAAACAATGCAAATACTAATAATGTCGAAAAATGCTTGCTTTTCGACTTACAGAGGATCCAAAGGATCTCATACGCAAATGTCTAGTCGTCGATCCAGCGAAACGAATCACAGTGAAAGAAGTATTAAAGCATCCGTTCTTCAATCAGATGGTGAGTTAATATAAGCTTTTAAGCGCGAGAGACCATTTTAATACATATACTAGATTTATTATATGTAAAAAGGAATATTTAGTTAAACAAACGCACATAAACTTGTTGCTCACCCCTCTACTTCTTCACAATACAAGTATACGAGTATTTTGCCTAACGTTAAGACGTCTTGCAGTTTTCAAATGAGTACTTTAAACTTTTCTATACATACATAGCAACATACATACATACAGAGTGACAATACTGTCTCTCTTACGGTCTCTATTTACACCAATACACTAGTAATTTTTTCTATTTCAACGCGCATTGTTGGCAATATTTTACTTTTCAGCTTTTTTGTATGTAATTTTTTGTTAATTTTTCTTTTTTAAAACTACGCTCAACAATTAAATTTCTTATTATTTTTTTAGCATAGTATTTAAATTACATTCTACTTTTATGGTACATTTAGTAATAGTACGTTTTACTATTTTACATGCCTATATATAGTTTTATATTTTTACTGGTTACTTATATAAGTTGTCCATAGATGAGTTCTTCTTTTTAAAAAAAAAAAAAAAAAAAAACTGTACTCTTTGTTTTCTTATAATTTCTAACTATGATTTTCTTTCTTTTTTCTTTCATTCATTCACTACCCACATATTGAAAATTATACAAATTTCGAATTAAAATAAATAATTAACAAATTCGGCTATCGTACAAAATTTTGTGATTGCCAAAAATTTACACGTCTCTAATATACCAAAATCTATGTAATTCGAATACCAAAAACATTTAATAAACTATAAAAATTGCGCCACAATTTTGTAAAATGTTTATTGGGTAAACAATTAATCCCATATTCGTATAATCAATCCATCAATGAAAAACGTTCGAATGTTAATACACGAAAAGTTATTCGAGCAAAATATCGATGGACTGAAGCGCAGCCTATCAACCAAATCTAGGAGAATGAGTCGCATCAATGACATTGCACTGGTAACGAAATGTTTCTGCGTATTGAACAGAAACGAAAACAAAACCAACATTCATAATATATATAACAACAATAACACTTACTGTTACTTTGCTAACATTATAAATTGTACAAGTACAAAAAAACAAAGAGTGATTGTGTTGATCTTACTACACTACCAATTCTCCTATTATTTATTAAAATTATTTTAATTAAATTTAACTCGATTAGCTGCTAACTACCAAAGCCTTTGCCTTTTTGCATTAATTGTTCTCCTAACGATATGAGTTTTGTTGCATACTAGCAATTAAATCAAAGAAGAAAATGTGTACATTGCACTCGTACCGAAGGTGGAAATATAATCGAAGTGAATGATTTTTTTATAATTATAAATTAATATTATGAGATATTATAAAATTTAATTGAAAACAGAAAACAAAACATTGAAATTATAACGATAACGCCTGTCTCTTATACACATCTAGATGTGTATAAGAGACAGATATGCTAATTTCAAATTTAGAAGTAGGCTTAAATATTCTTTAAAAAGAAAATAACACCGGTTGACATGATTTTTATATTTTATACAGAATCAAAAAAGGTAAACCAAAAATAAGGGAAATATTTTTTAATAAAGTTTGCTTTTGTGCTTTTGTAGTATTTTTTTCGTACTTCATTTATGTTCGTATGGGCAAGTCGGGCTCATTCGTCGTATCAGTCAAAAGCAAACTTTAAAAGCTAAAAATAAAAATTTTAGTATTTTCAATGCTTAGAATCCGAATCTGAGCATTAAACCGAAACCCAAAAATTGTGTTTTGACGCCTGCAATTAACTTAAATTTGCTATTAAAAACATTGAAAATAATAGAACTTTTAAAATTAAATAGCAAATAAATAATTATTTGTTACATTATTTGAAATTTTTTTTATAAATTAGTTTTTTTTCTTTTTAATTATTTTTTACTACTCTGGTTTGTATTATTGCGCATCGACTGTAGTTAGATTTTCATTTAGCAGATTTGAACAGTCAATTTCAAAAGCAATTTAATATAAAAACGCTTTCGACTTCTATATCCACATATCTTCTACGAAATAAAATTAAAAAATTTAAACTTTCAATTAAATTACTGACTCGAAATTGGCTGTAAATTGCTGTCGATGTACTGGAAAATTAAAAAGTGTGAATAAAAAACTTAAAAAAATTTAAAAAAAGAATATATAAATAAAAATAATTTATTTTAATAATAATTGATGATTTATGGCAACAAAAACAGAACACAATTAAAAGACTTTAATATTTGTGTTAAATATTATTGCATTTTTTCAAACTTTTTGCATATGAACAAAAACATATTAAATCATTTAAAAAATATTCGACAATTTATCAATATATATAATATACTTATATATATATATTTTTAATTTTCCAACACATTGACGCTTACATACATACACACATATACATATTTATGTACGTCTGCAGTTACATTTAACTAATCAATTTGTTCAATCATAAATTTTTTTATTTGCCATATCACTTGTATTTTAACAAGCATATTTCTTTCTTTTTTTCTTCCTTTTTTTATTTTTTTGCAATTCATAAAATTTTAGCTGCGTAAACAAAGTCGCTTTAATGCACGCAAGAAATTCCAATTCGCCATATTGGTTATACGTGCTATGATAAGAATCCGCCGACTGCGCTACACCGCCGAGCCATTACGCGTCGAAGAGGCTATACGCGATCCATATCGGGTCAAGGTGCTGCGTAAGGTAAGTGAATGCGTTTAACGATCAAAATAGTCGACAGTATGGCATTTCAGTTCGATAGCAACAGCTGTCGGTGTTGCTTGTTTTTCATTCACAATCGATTAAAATTCGCCAACGAAAATGCAGCTAACTCTCTAAAATTTTGAGAATTAAATGGGAGTTAGCAACGGAGTTATTTTCACTAACTCCTGAATTAATCCGGAGTTAGCGAATTTCAACTTGTCCTTTGACAATGCGCACTTTTTGGCACTGTGATGTGTCCATAAAAATAGCCGATAGTATGTAATTTCAGCTTCACAGCTTCATTTTTGCTAGCTCCTATAAAATTTATATAAGTGGTTGTAGTTTTGATCTGTTAAGGCACCTTTCCAAATTATGAATTTTTTTTTTTACTTCTTATAATACCATATACATATTTATTTAGTACATATATTTGCCCCCATATTCTCCTCCAAACAGGTGATTGATGGCTGCGCTTTCCGCGTTTATGGGCATTGGGTGAAGAAGGGCGAAGGCCAGAATCGTGCCGCACTCTTCGAGAACACACCACGCACAGAATTGCATGCGCTCTACATAAACAACTTGAGTCGATAGTTTGACGAAGACTCAAAACCGTGAAGCATAGACGAGAATGCCGCGCAGGGTGGTGTGCATAAAGGCGAAGTCCGAAAGCGTGAACTGCGGAAGCTTATGAATTACTGAACTTTAGTGGAAAATGTGAGAACTCCTTTGCTTGCGAAAGTTATTATGTTTATGATTATTGTAGTTGGTAAGTGAGTTTAAAACAAATGCTTGTTGAATTCAGCCATTTTTTGTAATTGTTTGTTTGCACTTTTTGAAGTGCAGTTATTTTATTTAATATATACTACATATATATATATATTCATTTTATAATTTCATTAGTAATTAGGCAAACTTGTAGTAATATACATACGTACATATAAATATAGTAAACAAATCCTAATTATCGTTAATGCAATTAGGCAAAGCAATTAGAAAAGTGAATTGAAAAAGTATAGCAAAATTCAAATAAAAACTGATAAATGATATTAATGAATTGTTTAAATTTTGCTTTAGTTTGTATTATTTATATAGTATAATTTTGTTAAGCCCTAAAGCTTTGTACTTTTAAGCAGCTAAACAGCTGGAAGAAGTATAAGCAAAAACCCGTAAATTAATACCAAATTATTTTATATACGTATAGTTAATTAATTAAAATTTAACTAAATTTTAATGAACGAAATAATTATAGTAATAAATAGCTGAATACAGCGGTGCAAAACAAAAACAACATTTGAAGCTAATTAACTCGTTTTAAGTTAAATACGTTTGTACAACTATGTGAACGTTGAATTTTAAAAGTTGAATTTCAAAGCGCAAAAATATTTATGCATTACATTTAATGCTGTTTTTTGACCCCACTATCATAGTTACTACATATTGTGCTTTATTATTTTTTAAACATATTTGTATTGCTAAACGTAGTTGCATGTATGCACATGGAAGAAAAGGAATTTGCGTTTTCACAACTTAAACGCCATGGACACATACACACACGCATATACTTATATACATATACATTATACATACATGCATACATCTGCACTTACATATCTCAAAATATACTAAACATACATAAGTGTAAAAACTAAATCACGGAGGTCACAATATTAATTAAAAAAATAGGCAATTTCATTATTCCAAAAATGTACACCAGTTTACGGTCATTTAGCGCCTGTGATGTTAAAGGCTGTTTCTTGCTAATTTAGTGTTGCTAAAACCGATAATGATACTAAAAGTTTCCAAAAAAAAAATTTTTCTCGTAGGATTTTTTGTATTGTAGTCTAGGGGTGGAAGGGTCAAACCGCCACCGTTTACTAAAATCAAATTCGTATTCAAGTCACTTCAAATACCCCATAAACGCTAAGAGGTCCAGTCGCAATATTTTTCCTTCAGATTTGTTGTGTAGTGTTCATATTACATTACTGATTCTGTAAAACTAAATAAAAAATTATAACTATATTTGTGACTAATTGTACAAAAAATGCGCTAAATTCTAAACTTGTTAACTTTAAAAATAGATAAAAAGTACTGTAATTTTTTCCTATAATTTTAAACATTAATACTCTCACACTATTTTTGTTAAGTTTTTTAATAAAACTTAGAAAAATTACACATTATTAACCTTTTGAACAAAGACATAAATAATTTTTACAATATCCGCTTAACATCACTCAAAAATCTCATTTAAAACAACTTACAAATGTAAAAAATATTAAATTTCGGTCAAATATAATACTTTTCCAAACATAAACAAGAAGAACAAATTGCTGGAAAATTATGACACGCGCGCTCACCATATTTATTGTTAATGGCTTAAAATACTCTTTAAATTGAAAAATAAATAATAATAAACATAATTTTAATTGATTTTTCAAAAATGAAAATTTACGCGAAATAAAATTGGTGAAGTGTTTGATGTTAACTTTATTTATTAACAAAAAAGGTTTACTCTAAAATCTGAAAAATTATTAAACTAATTGTTTACTATAACAAATTTTGAATTCAAAAGTTTTTAGAATTTTAAAAATGATTACATATAACATATATTAGAATAAATTCCAACGCTTTTAAATTGCAAAAAAATTATTCAGATAAAAAAGTATTAAATAAAATAAACAAAAAATTATTAAAATGTTCGTTTAGCGAAATTAGAGATTATATTTTTAGAAAATCAACATATTTGTTGATGTATAAAATAATTTAAAATAATTTTGCAAATTTAAAAAATATTTATTTGACGCGTAAACGTTTGATATTATCATTATTAACTATGCTAAAATAAGAAAAAAGAAAATGGAAAATCCTTAAAATATATAGAACAATATATAGTTTTTCAAAATTTCTTCAATATAAAAATGTTTATAAAAAATTAAGTATAATGAAAATTCATAACAATTCGCGCCATACATATAAATACTAATTTTTGTTGCAAATGTTTGAACACTTGAACACACGAACGAAAAAGAATTTAAATTGTCTATGTTCTCAGAATAACATTCAAAAATAATAGAACAATATATAATTTTATGCATATTTATGTAAATGCGAACACATACCCATACCCATACATACATACAGATGGCTGCTGTTTCAGAAAGAAATATAATTAAATAAAAAAAGCTACAAATATCAAAGTAAACTTAAATGAAATGTAACTACCAAGTACCTCCAGTGTTTTACGCCCATATTTTACACATGTATGCAGCTATGTATTGAATAAAATATATTGGTATGTGTTACACACATAAATAGCAAATAGCAATTATAGTGCATAGATCACATATGAATAGAAATGTATGCGCATGTATGTATGTATTTTGAACATCAACGAATCACTTAAAAGAAAAACGCAAGAGAAATTGTGAAAAAATGACAATTTAATAAACACTTACGTTGTTACAGTGAAAAAACATGTAACTAAAAGAAATTGTTGTTTTATTTGCCACCATATGTAAACGAAAATGCAGCAAAGTGTGGGTTCGTACTGTACGGAATGTCAGCGCCACTCAAACTATCAACATCCGTTGTCTAAAAGTATGCAGCAGAAATGCGACTTTGGAAGTCGCAGCGCTTTCTGCTGCATTATGGTCGCCTGGTGTAAATCGGGCAAGTTGGCGTCTGCAATTTTGCGATTTTCTCACCGGGTGACTCAAGTGAATGGAAATTTTTTTTCTTGAAATATATTAAAAAAATCCTAAAAATAATTAAAATNTAATGAGCAGTGTCATTAGTAAACTTTTTATTTTCAGTGTATGAAATTTTAAAAACAAAAATATTAAAATCGCTTTTCTCACAATTTTTAAACTAAAAACCACAACAACATATGCGCATAAATATTGTATGTATGTGTTTGGATTCAGGGTTGTGAATATTTTAATTAAAACTTTTGGATTAACTAATACATTTTCAATGTTTATTATTAAATCAGAATTAAAAATAATGCAATAATATTTTTAATTTAAAAATTTAAGTAACAAATAAAAAAGATGAAATTGAATATGAATGAAATTGGATAAAAGGCGAGATTTACATATTGAGAACAAAAATTAAAAGTTATTAAATGTAAATAAAACAAAAAAGAGAAAAGAGGAACATGAATTTAAAATTCAAAAACTTTAAACATTTTAAATTATAAACTTGGTATTAAGATTTTTTTAGTTTTCAATCCGGCATTTAGTATTCAAAACTTTTCTTTTGTTTTTTAATCCGATTTAAAAATAAATATTGAATCCGATTTTTGATACGATTTTGAAACCTACAATATACTTATGTACATATGCATGTGTGTATGTACTCGCTTCATTGCCAATATCACTAGTACACGGGCAAGTTGCACGCACAATCGCATAATAATGCATTGCATATGAATGTACCTTTCGGCGGCGCACAATATACTATCTTATGTGTTGTTGTAATAAAAGCATTATCCTGGCTTTTAGTTAATTAATTAATTTTCTCATTTCCAAATTCGGCGAAACTCACACACATAATTTTTTCTTAAATATATTTACATAAATGTGTATATACATATTTGAATTTGTGTAGAACATATGCATATGCGTGTGTGTGTCTGTGTGCGTTTAATTGATTCACATTTATTTTCGCAATTTAACTTAATTCAATATATATATACATACATATAATTTGACTTATACAATATACATACATATATACCAATCAACAAACATACATACAAATTTTTTAACATTTGCTATTATTTTTTCTCTTATTCCGTTACATTTCTATGTGCATTTGTATGTACTCTGGTAATGTGTGCGTGTGCAACAATACTCCTCCCCTACCACATACATACATACAAACTAAGTACTACCTGTGCCTTGTGTGTGCAATTTGTGTGGTTCTACAACAAAAAAAAAATCAATCAAAAAAATCTCCAATACACATACCACATACATATATACAAATGTACTTTGGTGCTTATATATGTATGTGTGTTATGCAATCTATGCATGTATGCGTGCATACGTAGCGTCTTTCAATCAGTTGGTGTTGTGGCAATGAGAATTTGCTTGTGAGTACCAACAACGACAGCAACAACTATTTAAATGCAAAATTCTATATTATTATCATTATTATTAAATTANAATTTAAAAATAACAAATTTAAAATATCTTTTTTTATGTGTTTTATAAAAATTTATTTGAACAAAAAAGTGATATAAATTATCCTTTTTAATGTGATTTTCTTCACCATATTCGTGCAAAGTCCACATTTTTTCGCATTATTTCTTGCCATGTCATTATTTTTTTGTTGATTTTATTTTTTGTGTTTCTTTTTTTGTAAACGTTTTCTTGTTGTTTATTTTGTGCGCGTCCCGTTTTACAATATACGTTTAGACTTGCAATTGCGTCTTTATGCTCTTTTTTTGGTTATGTGAAAATGCATTTATTTATTTTAATAGTTTTATATTTAAAATAAAAAGTAAGAAATGGACAAATTTGTTTGTTGATTTTATGCAAGTAAAGAAAAAAATATAAAAGATAATACTACAAAATTAAAGACAGTAGTACAATGATAAACGAATGAAATAAAAATATGCCTTAAAAAACATGTAAAATAAAAAAATTTGGTTTTGTTTTCTATAAATCTTTTTCAAACATGAGTTTCTACTTTCAAAATCACAATATCCAAATTTAATTTCGAATTTGCTTGTATTTGCACACAACAATTTGCCATTGCAACAGTTTTATTGTTTTTATTTCTATTTTAATTAATATAAAATATGTTTTTTGCATTAAAATTTTTGATTTATTATATATATTCTAATTTTTTGCTGTTTGCATGATTGATTTGTTTACTTTTCAAATAAATTGCATGTTTTGCTCTTAAATCATAAATACTTCTTTTATTATTTTAAGAAAACACTATTTTTTAAATAATTTAAAGGTGCATATATAGATTTTTGTGTTAAAAAATTAAAAAAGTACAAATTTGGCACACTTGAAAAAAAAAGTATTGAAAAAACAGCACAAAAAAATGAAACAAGGAATAAGGAAGGCAAACTTATAAAATTAAGTAAATTAATAAATTATAATTATAAAAAGAGGCCCAATGAAATTAGCACTTTTGGTAAAGATTAATTTTAATATTTTTACTAAAAATCTAAGGAACATGTTTTCTTAAGTTTAGTAAATAGTTATGATTATACAATTTGTTTTTGTAGCATTCAAAGCATAATCTACAAGGTTTTCAAAAGTGCTTGTTATATAATTAAGCTGTTTGTTAGTAAGAGCACTATTTATCAGAGCTGCAGGCGATTGGTGCCGCTTAAAGGGCAGCCCGCTTATTAACAACAACACCTAAGTTTGATTATGTTTTCACTCTTACTATTGGAGACACACTTTTTGCCCCACCTCAGCGTTGGCTTATAATAAGAGTATAGAGTTCTACCCGTGGTCTGTGTTCCAAACCTCCTTTTCCCTTTCACCCCAGAGTATACCACACATATAGCATATATATGTATAAATTAAATAATTTGTTATTTGTAAAAATAGATAATCGGCTTAACATTGAGCATTCATCACATGTGCGTTTGCGAAAAATTACCAAACAAATATAAAAATGTATAATTTTATAAAATTTTAAATTAAAAAAAATTAAATCGAAATATTATTGTACCCACATTTCTAATTGTCAACCGATTTCAACCAATTCCCTCCCAATACACACTGTTCTCCTCCCCGTGTTTTTTCTCTTTTTCTCTTTTTATTTCCATTTATTTTTAGGTTTTATGCTCCGAACCGTCGACTGATGGCCGCACCACTTATCAGCTGAAATCGCAAAATTTACGCAACTCGCCTAGCAGTGGCGCCCAGTTGTATTACAATCCTAATATTATTAAAACACAGACGAACTATAGTTACAACAAACTAGCGTCAACGTATGCCAGCAATAATATTAGTAATGACAACAATCGCAAGACTATGACAAACTTGTACTTAAACAAACAAGCGAGTAATCAAAGCAATAATAGCAATAACACCTATTCTCCAAACATAACTACTTCCCCGAGTACGACATTCCCTCAGGTGTACAATAACAATTACAATCAACGCAATTATCAAAGTAATGGTACGGCTGGTCCGACAACATTCCTCTCTACAAATCAAAATAATAACAGTATTGGCACCGCAACGCCGACGCCGACTTCATTTATAACGCAAGAGCAGCAGCATCAACAATTTATACATAAACAACAGCAAACATATGAACAACAGGTGCCAACAACACAACACTGCGACCATTATTACAACAAAAATCATGATCAAAGCTATAATAGTCATTATCATCATCAGCATAATAATAGTACACATGCTCCTCATTGTCCATACCATCAGCATCATCATCATCATCACTTAAAACCCTATTTGCATTATTGTGAATGTCAGCACAGTCAAGTGCAGTCGCAGCAACAAAAATACAACGATAAACAGTCATTAAACACTGCTAGTATATCATCCACATCAACCACAAGCCCTTCCCACATACAACTAGCGACGAACCCACCACAGCAGACAGCATTTACAGCGGCAACAACGGCATACGCATCGATCACAGAAAATTACTGTGTTGAGTCCTTAAATTATTATGCACAGGTTAGGCGACTTAATGACAAAACACTTTTCCATTGGGTATTCTCTTTATCAAATATCCCCTTTGGAATTGTTTTTTATGTGACTAATTACAAGGGTCTGAGTGTAGAGCGTAGCTGGAGTGCCCTAACTGAAATTAAATCAATGTGATATTTTTCCACCGAATTAATTGAGATTAATTTATTTTTCGCTATTAATATTCTCTTAATCTGACAAAATTTTCACTAATAAAATATTATATATATCGTTGAAATGTCCATTTGAGTCTCAGATAAAAATAAAAAAAAAATCATAAAAATTAAATTTTAAATAAAAGTGGTTTTATGCATAATTTTTCACATTTAAAAATTCATAAAAATCAAATTTTTGCATGAAGAAAAATTAGGCCAATAAAATAGTGTTTATAACAAAAATTTAAATAAAAAGCATCATTAGAAGAAGTATTGTAATAATTGTCTGTCAAACTACTTCCAGCTACGCTAAATACTCCAATTTATAGAAATTGTTCTGGTTTGATATGGAGAAAATCATATTCATTTTTTTGGTGTTTTTGAAAAATTAAAATTTTAGTCTGCTAGTGACCATATTTCTTACACTCACTTTACAAAAACATTTTGGTCAACTATATTTTCCTTCCATAGACTTTTGTAGCTTGTTTATTACTCATGCTTTACTGTTTCCGCTTTAGATGACGTGCAAAAATAAATATATTTACTCAATATTGATTTGTAGGTTAGTTTGTTCCTGTAGCTAACTTTCCCCAAACAACTTCAGCACATTTTTACATATTTTAAATTAAGATTGTATCTATATATGCACCTTTATTTTGAAAACGTACAATTGTCTAGATAAATATTGTATATAACTATATTCTGAGAGCATTAAAGTATGCTGATGTATATTACATATGTATATTGTTTAATGCTTGCATGTAACAGTAATTTTATGCTAAGAGTCTAAACAAACAGTATTAACCACTAACACGCTTGCATGCACATATACATATATATTTAACATAATTTGCTCTTTTTTATAATATAAAAGTAAATTTGAAATTTAAGTTTAAATTTTTTTATTAAATGCTTATATTATTTTATACATATT